GTTGGGCAGCCGTGAGGTCATGTGACGTCATCAAAGGTCACCAAAGGTTTTTGGCCAATAACTCCGTACAGGAACAAGATACAGACGCGTGGATGGTCTCATTGTGTTCAGCTCGTCAAGACGCATCGAATGATATACATGATGACCTCGAGGTCACGTGACCTGAGGTCAACCTTTGACCTTGACCTTTCGAGGTCAACATATATATCGTTCGATGCGGATTGACGAGAGGATCACGATGATCCCCTTAGTTTGTTCCTATCTTGACTAATTCGAAAGTTATTCGAGAAAAACTCTCTCCATATCTAGTGCCGCCATTTTGACTTTTTCGACCCCTGTGGCGTCATCTTTGACCTGACCTGAAAATGACCTTAGTAAAAATTGTAGATCTTGGCCGTGCATATCCGATGCCGTTTACCGCTTGTCGCTATCTTGCTTCGTTCTCGAGATCTCAGGGGGGGGGCCGAATCGGCCCCCCCCCCGCCAGTTTCTTGTCCCGGCGGAGCCCGCCAGGAATAGGGTTAACAATTCAAGTCGGTACTTGAGTTATTCAGGATACATGAGCAGAAGACTCATTGCTTGGTCATCTTCACATCATGCATTAATTTGCATTTGTTCATGTCTACTTTGCTCAATTGAGCTTGGTATCATGCCCATATAAGGAAAATTGGCCGCGCTGAAATGTCAGAGGTTGCACCGGCCTCAGCTCGGGTGGAGTGGGGGTAGCGCCCGGTGGGGCAGGGTAACTTTTGACCGGTCGCACGGCCGAGCAGCTGTCACCAGTACAGCCTCTGACAGTGAAACCCCGCTCACTTCCCCTGCGCGGGCACTGAGCGCAGCTGGATGGAACAAAACATGTATAAGAAAAATGTAAATTAAAGCAGGTTGTAAATCAAGCAGAACAATGAATTTTCTTCACAGGTATCCTGAATAACTTTAATAGCGATGTGGACAGTTAAACTGACAAATATGACATTTATTTAGTAGAACGAGAGCCGAACGTTCTTTCCGTGGCTGGTCAGGCGGGCCGAGAGCGCCGGGTCTGCGAGTTGATCAGGGCCATTTCACGCTTCTGTGTGGCCGACTTTGGTCCATCGTGACACTTGAGCTGTGTGATTGCGCCTTATTGTCGGCTGTGGGAGACGCATATTAATGTTAGGAAATATTGCTTCGCTAAATATTGTTCTTTTGGTGTTCAGCTTTCACTGGAACTCGAAAAACATGTTTATGTTTTCAAGAATGCCCGGGACAGCCCGTTGAATAAAAATTATAAAGTTTTTACAAAAACGCAATTTTCAAAGAAGGCCATCGATCGATTTTGATAAAAAACCAGTAAAACGCCTTTTGGGCGACCAACGGAGCGAGCGAGAGGATGGGCCTTGCACGTGCGAAATTGCGAGGGGGTACCTCCAACTAACTTGTGCATTGCACCCTACTAACCGGTCTTTAGCGATGTGCCAAATTTCAGCGCAATCGGCCTAGTCGTTCTCGAGATCTGGAAGCGGCACACTGCACGTGCGCACGTGCAAGCGGGGTCCAAACTGACTTTTGCACGGCACCCTACTAACTGGTCCCCAACCGTGTACCAAATTTGAGCGCAATCGGCCCAGCCGTTCTCGAGATCTGGGAGCGCCCCCTGCACGTGCGCACGTGCTGTAGCACCCCAACCTTAACACATGCAGATGAATTATCTGATGGAGACCTAACTGTGTACCGAGTTTCAATTCAATCGGCCCGACCGTTGTGCCGTTATTGAGGTTGCAATTTTTGGGGTTCTTAAAAAATGTCCAACTTTACCACGCGCCACGTGCGGTGGTTGGCAAGAACGCATGGTGGCCATCACACCACAGAACTTTTACGTCCAAGTGACATTCAGTAAAGAAGACCGCTTGTCAATCGGATGTCCCGTTCCTAAGATATTAGCTTTTGAAGAGCGTCCCCACGGCCGGCCGGCCGGCCGGCCGCTCATACTCAGGATTTTCCCTTAATTCAGTATGAGACTCCGCTCGCTTCGCTCGCTCCGTAATTATATTTTTGGATTCAGCTCACCGTCAGCTTTTGGATGGTATATACCGTTTCTTTTGAGCCTGAGATGACCTTCCGACGAACCGTGGAATGTCCTTGCATCGTTTATCTTCAGGTGGAGAGATGACAAAATAAACATCGATCCTCGTAACTCGTTTAAACTTTGTTACTATGAAAAGAAAATTACTCGTACATGAGGCAACTAGCCTGTTTCTTATATCAGGGCAAATAAATCGCCTGAGTCCGTTTTGCCCCGGGGGTTGGGCAAAGTGGCCAAAATGCACAGGGTTAAAGTTCTGCCAATATCTCCCATAGGCATGTGAACGCCTTTACATAGAACTGGAACGATCGGGAAATGAAAGGCGATTTGATAGGGGTCATGTTGACATAGGAATTTTTTCAAAGTTTGAAAATGAAGCAATGGCACAAAAGCCTTAGGGTGGCCGCTTTGCCCCGGTCTCCTAAATGTTCGCAGAGCTGCGATTTTGACATAACAACCGTGTTTGTTATGCCAATGCGCATCGAATGATATCATTTGGCGCAAAGAGCTGATGAATTTCATTCGAGGTATCAGTTCTTTTATTAGGGGAGATCCGTGTAAGACGCCCAGGGTCGGTAAGAGGCCCCATCGCTTTTTTTACCAAACCAATAATGTTATTTATTTTTTAATGTTCTTGTAAAGCAGAAGCCCTCTTGAAACAACAACTCACGAAACCTGAGGTATCAGGTGCGTCGCAGCGACTTTTGGTAAGCCTGTTTCTGTTTTTGCCCCTTTACTTGCTAGATATATGCATCTTTATCACCCTTATATATCTGAAAAAACAATGGCTATCAAATGCAATCTTTTCTCATCGAAATTGTCACATGTTAGCTTCAGAATAGACCATGTTCTGGTGCGCTGCAAATGTCTCATAAACCATAAATATTGTGGACGTTAAAACACTGTATTTTTTTTAAGAGGCCCTCCCTTCGAGGATGATAAAACGCCCCCCGATAAAAAACGCCCCCGATGCTAAAACGCCTGCACCTGCGGCAGGCGTGGCATTCTTTTTTCAAGGAGTTTGTTTTTGTTTCTTTTTTCTGTTTCTTTTCTTAGAGGTTATAGGTACAATTTTCGTTGGTCATCAGCGTTTGGTTGTGCTAGTTTTCGCATTGTTCGAGCGCTTTGGAAGTGTTATTGGTTTCGATAACACCGTATTTGCTTAGCTTTTCGAAATAAAAGGCCTTGCAGCTGTGTTCGCAAAGCTTCTTTTACAAGTCGACTTGACTTTTAAAACGCCCGAGGGGGGGGGGGCGTCTTACCATACCCATAGTGTAAGAGGCCCTTTTGCAACTTTTTCCAAAATGTTAAAGTTTACGGTTTGTGTACCCCCTAGATTCATTTTGAATGCAAATATGTATGGGAAAATGATGCAAGCTCACAGCGCATGCACACGTTAGCGCTTAAATATTATCAGTTGTCTAAAAATAGTAACTGAGCTTAAAGGGACCCTCCCACCTTCAAAAAAGTTAATGAATTGGCATGAAAATGATGTCGCTCGGTTCAGAAAGAGCAAAAACGAATATCTACCAAATTTCATCGAAAAATATTCACCGGTTTTCAAGATATTAGACTTTTACTTTTGTTTACTTTTTGGGATCTCCGCTGTTCCTAGCGACTTTATTTGAAAGTGCGGCATTTGTTGCGCGCAAAGCAGCATATACCACCGCGTGCTACAAAACGTTTTAGTCAAACATTTAACGGACGTTCGAAAGCCTGATGACGTCATCAGACTCCCGTAATGGTTAAGAGATAGGGACCACGCTGGTCCCACCCTGCAAGTAAAGGGAAGAAATTTCTTGAACACCATAAAGCTGCGGGGGTTGCGACCAGGATAAATGGTGGTTTCTGAGCCTGGCCGCAAACTTGGCTATCTCAACTCAAAACTAATGTTAAGGTGGGAGGGTCCCTTTAAGGGGGGGCCTCCTGCACCACTCTCCCCTATATCATGGACTAGCACGATCCGAACATCTATGGCGAAAATGTTCAAATGTTCCGGTTGATTTTGTGGTATAACCGATCCTCGGCGCGTTCCGATAGTTTGAGCGGCGCGCTGCACATGATTGACCTTCAATGACGGTCCGGCCGGTGCGACACCGACCGGCCATGTACTGCACCGACCGGCCGCTGCTCACCCCGACCGAAAGTAAAAGGGACCCGCTCGCACCCTGTACGCCAAAACTGCAGAGAAAGTATGTGTATAAAGGTTTGCGTGGAAGCGTCGCTGACATTCACGTGTGCACGCCGGTAGTGTGCACTGGCGTTTGGAGTCTGGCCGTGCACTGTGTGGAGGGTGGTGCTCACATCGGACCGTGAAAAAATAGTGGATCCTACTCACGGTAAGAAACGGAAGTCTTTTCAGTATAACGGAAAATTTCATTTCATTTCATTTTCTCGTTACGAGATGTCGCAAAGTATCGCATCTAGGGCCATGCTGATTTTTTAGTGCTGAATTTCACCGAGGGAGTACCTATAACGTGACTGCGTGCAAAAGGGCAACCATTGAATGATGTTACAGATTTAGGCGAACACGTAGGTAACCGAAACTATTGCACCCGAGTGGCTTCTAGAATTGTTGAAAGATCAACAGAGGTTTAATTTGTGACATGAAAGTAACCAAAATTTATAAGCTACGACAAAAATTTATATGTTATAATTTTACAGACGATAGTATTACATTAGAACTATCACCAAAAGCACCTCTTTTATTTTACTTGTTACTTACAGATCAAACAATAAGATACTTTGACATTGGGTACATTTTTTTATCGTCGCATATTTTAAAATTAATGTCCAAACATAGGTGCTAACATTTTTTTTTGCAAAAGGATTGTACGCAATACGTTAGGATAGATCAGCGAGAGGGGACGACAGAAACTAAAGAACACGTGCGGTCTACATCTCGGTGATTTCTCAAAAGTGATGCGCCCAAATTTTACGAATATATATTGGATCTATTGGATATATAAGTCGACATAAACTTGTTTCAGTAGCATTTATTTACTCGTGTACGGCATTTTTGTACGATAACGAAGTGTTACAAACGCATATCAATCAGGACTGGTGTCCTTGGCATTGTGTTATGTTCATTTGCTTTAATGTCGATGCTCTCAAAATCAGCTATACAGTCACGGGTTATGAAAGAATATCGAGAAGCCGTATCTAAAGACAAACCAGAGAAGTCGCCATACAGCAATCCACTTTTCATCGTTCTTGCTATTTTGTGTGCATTGCAGTGTACCTTCACCATTTGCGTTATTTCTGGATTGACATTTGGCTGGTTTAAATTAGTTTAAAGTAAGATGTGATTCTATGATTCACCTGGCAGTCATGCCCGTGCTATTCTGTCAGTTGTAGGAGTGTAATGCAATTTACCATCCTGAAGGCTTCTTTGCTTCAAGATGAAGATAATTAGAAGCCGTTCTGGTACGTTTCGTAATTCGTTTGACTAGATGAGACTAGCTGGTGTACTGATTTTTACCTTACCTACGTGTTTTAATTCGCTCAAGTTTCTTCTCCCTGAACTTTTTGGGGTCACTTTGGTTATGGCTTTCATATTTACATAGCGCGCCTTCGATGTGCTCAGTTTTAGTTTATCAGTACATCGCCCATTGTGGTTGGCAATGTATCTTTTAACGCTGTTCTTAACCAATCTGCTTAAAGTGAACTATTTTATGTGACCTTACGCCCTCCGTCTTGTGTTTCAGGACGGTATGAAGCTGCACGCTCTCATCTTTTTAGCAGGTAAGCGGCAGGAATGATACATTTTGACAATGGCATACGTTAAAATCATGGGTGGTCTTTTGTACCGTTAACACGTATTCTACATTAGTGTTAATTGGCTTACTATTCAAACATGTTTGATCATATATCAGCCTCTGTAGTAATGCTACATTTCATAGGCGGCGGAACGGAGAGGGCACCGGGGCACCGTGCCCCCTTTGATTTTGGCATTTTAACATTAGCCCTATGGGCGCTGCATGAAAAGAATGGGACCAAAAGTCGGCAGTGCCCCCCCCCCCTTAATTGAAGGTGTTTCGCCGCTACTGCTACATTTTATAACTGTGCTGTCGTAGTCGTTTCATTATCCTGACGAACGAACTGTTAGATGATAACAGAATTGGCCTTCAGAAATGAGTTGCCATTCTTTGTGAGCATGAAATAGTCAATTACTGAATCTCTCGTCACTGCGTTGCTCAAGTGCATTTTTTGTTGTATACGTGGTGTCTAATGATTTCGACCCCTTTGCAGGTGTGTTTCTGACCCATAGTGCCAGAGGCAAACCACAGGGCAACCAGCCGTTGGTGGCTCGCGGGTCGAACGTATACGGCGCCGGCGCCGGCTTCAACCCGGGGCCGTTCCCAGCCGTGCCGCAGGACCAGCCGAGCCCGGCGTTCCGCCAGGGGCGAGTGGAGCAGCCGGGGCTGCGGCAGCCCCAGCGGCCGGCGCCCGTGGCCCCCGCCCCGGCCCCCGCTCCGGCCCCCGCCCGCTCTCCGGTACAGACGCCGCAGCAGGTGCCTGACAACGGCATCAGCGATGCTCTGCTGCCGCCGGCCGGCCAGCCGACTCCGCTGGAGGAGATCGACCTACGGGTAACCGATCTCACGACCGGCAACCGTCCGGTGGTGGGCACCAGCAACGGCGGCAGCGTGCCCGCCGCCGCGTTCCGCCAGCAGCCGCCGCAGGTGGTCGGCAGCTCGGGCGCCGCGCGGCTGCCCAGTCTGGACAATGTGTTCGGCGGCGTGCCACCGTCACTGGAGTCACCCGGCGGCGGCGAGATCGGCGTCGGCGTGCTGAACAGAAACCCGGAGACGGTGGTCGGCTTCGAGCGGAACAGCGCGCAGGCAGGCGGAGAGGAGGAGGCAGTGCCACAGGCCCTCACTGCCGGCTTCCAGCCGCCGAGCTACCAGAGCCAGCAGTCCGGCAACGGGGGACGTGGGTTCCCGCAGCAGCGGCAACAGCAGCAGCAGCAGTCCGACAGCAGCAGCGGAGGCGGCGGCCAGCAGCCGGGCTCGGGTGTGGCGCGAGGCGGTAACACGTACGGCGCCGGCAACGAGCGGGAGGCACCGAAGACGCGGGTTTCCGGCGACCTGGACATCCAGCCGCAGCCGCCGCGCACCAAGGAGGAGGTGCTCTCGCAGGCGGCGCTGCCCGATGAGGAGCCACCCAGCCAGCCGACGGCCGGCGTGCGCGCGCTGCCGCCGCCGCAGCAGGACGACCAGGGCGAGGGCCACCACATGGGCGGCATCGAGTGGCTGCCCGAGTCGATCCCGGGCCAGCCGCTGATCGACTACCCCGTGCTCGTCAGGATCCCCGACTCGGGCTTCGACTGCGCCAACCAGGAGTACGACGGATTCTTCGCTGACACTTCCGAGGATGCCCGCTGCCAGGTAAACTGAATTAGCCTTGAATTTAAAGCGCATGTATCTTGTTTAGAATTTAAGGTGCACATAATTCAGCCATTGAAAGTTAATCAGCCCCATAATTTTTCACAAACGAACAATACAGGTATAAATTATATCTTTAAAAGTATTTACGTTTTTCTTGTGAGATATACCACAAAGGCGTCCACTCGTGCATGTGTTGTTAACATTCTTCCCAAACAAGCAGCTACTTTGACATTATTTTTGTAATACTCGTAGTCATTAGGTACTTCTGGTTTAGTTGCTTGATTTCTAGGATAAATGTCATGGTTGAGTTCTTATGTTTCCCATTTCGTTTTTATTCGTCGTAACTCGTAGAAATATGCGTCTGTGTACGTTTGAGATCGCATGGCATTTTTATCACTAACATACGGGCCATTTCCTCAGGCCTTCTGGGTGTGCCACAACAAGCAGCAGGACGGTTTCCTGTGTCCGAACGGCACTCTCTTCAACCAGCGTTACTTCACGTGCGACTGGTGGTTCAACGTCCGCTGCGACGAGTCGCCCGACTACTACGAGCTCAACAAGAACATCGGCGTGGTGGGCACGCGCATCGACACCCTGCCGGCCGGCGTGGTGGCCGCCGAGTCCAAAGTGCACCCCGTGAGTGTGCTGCCGGACCCCGGGTTCCCGCTGCAGAGCGCCGACGCCGACTTCTCCCAGCCGGAAGAGGCTGACGCGGTCAACGGCTTCCGCTAAGGGCGCCGCCGTGTGTCGGCGAAATGAGGCGCGGGGCGACCAGCGCGTGTGTCTTTCACGTAGCACTTAGTGCTCTGATCCTTGTTTTATTTTTGTTTTTATTTGTTTTAGTTGTGCATGTGTCTGAGTACCCTTGACGTGTTTGTTTTTGTTTTAGGTGTTCACGTTGTTGAGTGAGATGCTGCACTATCCTCGGGTTCCTCCTGTTCCACCTCACAACACGCTGAGAAAGAATTCCTCCAGTCCTTCCCGACCAGTCAAGCCTGCCGAAGATTTTAAAACTTCGGTGAAAATCATGGAAAACTTACAGGATCGTCAGGCTGCAAAACCTCAGCCTTTGGGTGTAGATAACTCAAAGTTGGCCCGGTCGAATTCACCTTGGTCTGTCGGCATGCTACCCCAGTTTAACATGAAGTTTCGCGACCGGGCTGTCAACTGGCGCTCAGGTGCCGCCGCTGGGAGAGGTGCCAGGTCCTTGCGCCGTCGGAGGCACCGCAAACGCTCCAAGAGACACAAATCTAGAGCGGCGCCGGACCCGCCTCCGGCCGCGCAGAATCCAGGTGCGCCCTCCCAGCCGGCCCAGTCCACTGGTCAGAGTGCTCAGTCTGGCACGCCAGAACCGTACATTGAGACCGTCCAGAAGATCGACCTGCCCATGACTGCGTCCGGTACTCCGAAACTGATGGACGATGTGACCGTGATGGAGAAGCAGGGAAACATCACGCTGTCCCAGTCGGAAAAGCAGATACCGCTAAACCTAGCTGCCATGCCCAAAGCAGGGGCTGGGGCGCCGGCGCCGGCGGGGCAGGCCACGGCAAACCAGGCTGCTGGTGGGCCCGCTGCCGCTCCGCAGCCCGCTCCGCCCACGACGCCCCCGCAGCCGCCGCCGGCTGCGCCCGGACCGGCCCCCGGTCAGCAGCCTCCGGCACAGGGCCAGTACCCGCCGCAGGGATACCCTGCGCCCGGGCAGGCGCCTCCTCCTCCCGTGCCGCCTCAGAGCCAGCCGGCTCCGGCGGGCGCGCCGCCGCCGGGCAGTCCTCCGGTACCGCCACAAGGCCCCCAGCAGCCTCAGGTACCAGCCACGGCGGCGCCTCAGCAGCAGTGGCAGCCGCCGGCCGGCCAGCCGCCGCAGATGAACCCCGCGCAGGGTCCGGTCCAGCCTCAGGACCAGCCGCCGCCTCCGCAGGCCGCCGCTGCCGCCGGTCCCGGCCAGACACAGACGTCCCCCAACGGAGACATCGTGGTCGATGAAGATGTCAAGGTCGATGAAGGTGATAACAAGCCTCCAGTGGAGAAAAAGCTTCATTTTCCACCTGATTCCAGCACTGCCCAATCGGGAAATCAAAACCAATCGCCCTCCAGTTCAGGTAACAATAGTAATAATGGAACAGATGGTGATGGAGTATCTATTGATGAAGATATTAAGGTAGACGAGGAGAACTCGGCTCATCCTGCGGAAGAGGAGCTGCGATATCCTCCCGGTGGAAAGCCAACTTTGGTGGAGGGTGCTGACCACGGTGCAGCCTCCCATTCCGGCACGACCTCACCCCCAAATGACTCACAAAATCCAGCTAATGTTAGAGATCCTTCGGCGTTGCATCATGATATGCCATCAGAAAATGCCACACCAGATGATACTAGCAAAACAAAAGCCCCACCCACGGACGGAAAAGAGCAGATTGGTGACAAAATTCAAATCACCTCTGAAACCGTCAGCAAGGTAGTTCAAAATCCCAAAGCGCAGCCAGTTCGGGATCCTTCGGGCTTGCAGCCGCCTAAGTCAGATTCAGTGCCTAGCATGCCACAAAAGAAGACTGATCAAAAGAGAGAAAGTATTCGCTCAAAGAAACGAACAAAGGATTTCCCAAGAGATTTGAGCAGCGCTAGCCGCAGTGGAGGAAAGCACTACCCTGAAGTGCGAATAATAGGAAACATGGAGCCACTACCGAAGGCTGGATTAGATTCAGCCGTTTCCAAAACTGTAAACGCTGTTGATGAAACATTAAGCCTTCAGCCGGTTACATCAGGACATAGTCGTACATTTGATGCAGGAACATTTTATCTCTCACCACAAAGCAAAAATAACTATCATGAAGGATCATCGAAAATTTCGCCGAACAATCCGATCGGAGTTAATTTGAAAATATTTGTAGATCAGAAGCCAGTGACGGTGGTGAACAGGAGTGCGTCGAACTATCCTGCCGCCAGTGGCTATCCTGTAGCGAGTGGTTATCCTGCAGCCGGTGGCTACCCAGCGTTCAGCGGCTATCCTGCATTCAGCGGCTATCCCGCAGCCAGCTACCCTGTGGCCGGCTATCCTGCACAGTATTCCGCGCCTGTGAAAAGCCGTCGAATGATCGAGGCTGAACAGCCAGAGAGCGTGGTAGACGCCTACGACTACGACATCAACGAGCTCCCTTCTTGGATGCAGAAGGTAGCCGCCGTCAAGCGTAGCGTCAGCTCCCAACACTCGTCTGCCGATGTATCCTCGCACGAGCTTCTGGGCCAGGGAGCGGCCGCGGAGACCGCTGGAGACCCCCTGCAGACGGCCTCACGTCCCGTTCGGAAGGCCGTCCATGTGCCTGACCCTCAATCAGCCGATGTTAAACGAGCACTGGCTGCACCTCGCGTCCAGAAGATATTTCAGAGTGCCCGAGAGGAGCTGATGAAGCTGCTCGGGGGTCCGCAGGAGACCCTGGACTCTGAGATAGACACACTGCTCGGAAAGCCGCAGTCTGACAAAGATAAACGAGAAAACGATATGAAGCTGCGGCTCGATTCGAGCAGCCTCACCTCGTATCCTGAGCTGGGCCTCGACCCGCTCTGAATGATCGCCGTGATCCCATGTTCTGCATGATCTGTATCAATTGTATTCTGCATGCATTGCCATTATCCAGCGAACATGCTACCATCCTTGCTCCTTTCCTCTTCCCGGCCTGCCAGTGCAAGCTCTCAGTAGGGGAACGCTTAGAGCCTTATAACCTAGCGTCAGTGTCTCACGTGTTTGTTGAGGTCTTTGTTATTGATCACTGATGTTACGACTGACAATTTTGTCTGCTGACATACTCAGACTTCTTGATGCATGCGTCAATTGTGTTGTTGAATAAAGCATTATAATGTTTGTTTTGTTAAGTCAATGAAAAGGTTAAAACGAAGGGTGAGGACATCAAGTTACGTGGAATGTTTTGGGGTTCCTTGTATTAGAACTGTCACATAGAATTACCTTATGTGTAAACAGGTTGTGATATGAAAAACCTGGGGGGGGGGGGGCAGATCTTCACTCCTTTTTCTGGATGAGGCTCAACTTCCCCACTAAAAACGTTTGGACGGGGAAAGAGCATTACGGCGCCTAACCTGCTTCGGTTATGAATTTCAGCCAACTTCAAGTGACCCCCCGTTGGCGGTGGTCACTTAAAAAAAAAAACATAAGGGAAAAAATTCACACGAAGAGCTATCGACGCCCTGATAGCTATCTTGGTCATTTTTCGCCCAGATCAATGTTGAGGTTTTCTGAGGTCATCGAAGGTCAATTACAGAGAGAAAGGCCGTTCTCGTTAAGACATTAGGAAACAACTATTCGGTAAAGCTGATAACATTAACATTTTCAAGGTCAACTTATAGTTAATTCGACGCGTCTCGACGAGAGGAATACGATGCTACCACAATAAATGTCGTATTTATCTGCAAACAGAAAGCTAGTCCGTAAAACGGCAATTTTAACCCGCACACCGACGGGGGTCTGCGCCAACTTCGCACCGACGGGGGGGGGGGGGGCGGATGACCGCCCCCCCCCTGAGATCTCGAGAACGAAGCAAGATAGCGACAAGCGGTAAACGGCATCGGATACGCACGGCCAAGATCTACAATTTTTACAAAGGTCATTTTCAGGTCAGGTCAAAGATGACGTCACAGGGGTCGAAAAAAGTCAAAATGGCGGCGCTAGATATGGAGAGAGTTTTTCTCGAATAACTTTCGAATTAGTCAAGATAGGAACAAACTAAGGGCATCATCGTGATTCTCTCGTCAATCCGCATCGAATGATATATATGTTGACCTCGAAAGGTCAAGGTCAAAGGTTGACCTCAGGTCACATGACCTCGAGGTCATCATGTATATCATTCGATGCGTCTTGACGAGCTGAACACAATGAGACCATCCACGCGTCTGTATCTTGTTTCTGTACGGAGTTATTGGCCAAAAACCTTTGGTGACCTTTGATGACGTCACATGACCTCACAGCTGCCCAACAGCAAAACAGACCTCAAGGTAGTGAAGGTTGATCGTAGGTTTATGAAGTCATGTATGGTATATGGGGCCATTCCGACCCGTTTTAGTGGTAAAAACAGGGAGTTGATTTTTCCCCCATTGACTTATAATGGGGAGTTCGCGAAATTGACCTGACCTTAGGTCACCGATATCAAAATTCCGAGATATACAAATTGTAGCTACTAATGACCTAATAATATCCTGCGACTTTCAAAGGCCTCCGACATCTACTGTAGCTCTGGCACGGTGACAAATTTTCAAAAAAGTGACTTGAGGTTGGGTCATTCAAAGTGACCTGGTGACCTGACCTTAAAAGGTAGGAGGTTCAAACTTGCACACCATGTGTAAAATTGATGAGGTTATAGTCATACCAAATTTCGCGGCGCTACGCGCCGCGGTTTTCCCGCTATTTGCAAAAAATCTCAGGGGGGCGGATATCCGCCCCCCCCCGTCGGTGCGCGGGTTAAAGGGACACTCCCACCTTAACATTAGTTTTGAGTTGAGATAGCCAAATTGGTGGCCATGGCCTGCAAATACCGGTTTGGGCACTCACAACATCGAAAAATGCTTTAATTCGAAGATATGGAATTTCAAACTTGCAGTTTTCGGATTCTAAGGGGCTAATGCATTGGAATGCCCCCTTAGAATTTGTGACGTCAGCGGAGATCTAACTATTTTTAAATCTTAGACTAAAACCATCGTTAACACGTGGTGGTATACGCTGCTTTGCGCGCAATGTCTGCCGCACTTTAAGGCTGCCAAATTATTGCTTCCAAATAAAGTCGCTAGTAACAGGGGAGATCCCAAAAAGTAAACAAAAGTAAAAGCCTAATATCTTGAAAACCAGTGAATATTTTTCGGTGAAATTTGGTAGATATTCGTTTTTGCTCTTTCTGAACCAAGGGACATCACTTTCATGCCAATTCATTAACTTTTTTGAAGGTGGGAGGCAGGGCTGCGGAGTCGGAGTCGGAGTCGGAGTCGGAGTCGGTCGGAGTCGACAGTTGTGACCGGAGTCGGAGTCGGAGTCGGAGTCGATTTTAGAAACCCGAGCCGGAGTCGGAGTCGGAGTCACCGAAAATCTGTCGACTCCGCAGCCCTGCTAGGTCTGCGGAGTCGGAGTCGGGAGTTGGAGTCGGAAGGAGTCGACAATTCTGCCCGGAGTCGGAGTCGGAGTCGGAGCTGGTTTTTGAAAGCCGGAGTCGGAGTCGGAGTCGGAGTCGCCGAAAATCCATCAACTCCGCAGCCCTGGTGGGAGGGTCCCTTTAAGACGCAATTACTTACAGCACTGAGACAGACTGTTCAAATAAAAAACCCAGTAGGTAACCATTTTAACATTAGGTATGCCGTCAATTGTACAATTATGAGGCATCCCTTTGGAAAATATTATGAAACTTACCAATTCCAAGTCATCTTAGGTCACGTCGTCACGAAAACCTGTACCTACATAGTAGAGGTGAAGTCGGAATAATTTAGCGGAATTAGAATAAGAAGTCTTGCGCAGATAATATAAAACGGTGATACGTGGCGCTGCCAACTTCGATACTTGCATACCTATAAGTTATGAGGCTAAATTATATTTTCATTTACAGAAAGAATGATTACTTAAAAAGGACGGACAAATGACACATGACAATTCCACGACACACGATAAAAAAACGCGGGCCCCGGAGAGCACTGAGTGTATGCTTCGAGTTGCACCTGTGCGCCTACCGTTCACAGCGGTTCTGGAGCAGCGCCGTGGTCGCGGATGCTCTCACGCATCTTTGCGAGGAGCGCGGCATATGCGGTCAGCGCATTGGGGCGCGGCGGTCGGGACGTGTCCTGTGCCAAGCTGGGAGAGAGGCATAACAGCTGCTCGGCGAGCTGCTGCGTCGTCGGCGAGTCCGCATCCGTAAGCGGTGGAGACTCGCGGCGGGGCAGCAGGTAGTAGGCCAGGTCTGGGTCATCTAGGGGGTTTCTGCTAGGCTCCTCACTGCGACTCCCTGCAGATGGACGGACTGGCATCACCGGACCGGGTCGCAAAGCTGTCGCTGAATCCTTGCTGCGGCCGACGCTGCAGTTCCCTTCGCCAGTGTTGTCGCAGCCGTCGCTGATCTCACCAGTGCTTCTGTCACCTCCACCGCCGCCGCTTCCTCGGCCGCTGCCGCCGCCGCATTCATCGCTGCTCTCGCCGCAGCTGCTCCTGCTGCAGCGGTCCACGTCGTGGCTGTTTCCACGGCTGTCGCCACCGCTTCTATCAAAGCTGGTGACAGCAGTTCTGACGTCAGGTCTGTCGTGGGCTCCCGCCAATCGTATGGCCGTGGCGTTTCCACGGACCACTGCCACCGATATCCGCTGAATGAGGCGCTCCATGTCCCGCCGGTCTCCGGTTACCTGCACGATGCGTCGGCCGAGGTCCTTTAAAAAAGAACAGCTGTCCGAGCCCAGTGCTCCGGATGTTTCCACGGCGACCGGGCGGAACAGATAGCGCCGACTGATGGCCTCATACCGCCGGCGTTTGCGTCCCTCGGCGGCGGTCGCGGCTGCGCTTGCCCGGGCTGCTGACGCGGCGACTGATGAGGCGCTGAATGTGTCCACACAGGTAGCATCCCAGACGAGGCACCTCCCTTCTGCGTAGGGGAAAGCTGTGATGCCATCCGGGCGTCGTCCATCACCGCGGTCCAAGCCAGCCGGCTCAAGAACCGATGGCAGTCCAGCGGCCGCGAGTCCGCGCTTAATCACGCTATTGAGCTCAGCGTGACGGGGGAATCGGCCGGCGCTCAGCTGGCAGCTGAGGCCGTGCAGGCCGCGCTCGTCGATGTCCGCTCCGCAGCGGCAGCGATGGGGAGCGCAGACCTCTGCGCCGACCCGCAAGGCGACGGCTGTTCGTAGGGTGTCTGGGTCGAGCAGCGTGCCCACGCTGGCTGCTGGGAAGGCGTTCAGCCAGGCGCCGGAGTGCGGTTGTGCGGCAGCTCGGAGCCGCGCCCGGTCCACATCAGTCGTGCAGTCATCCAGCAGCTGCCGACTGATCGCTTCTGCTGCTGCTCGGTCCCAGTCACGCTGATAGCGCTGTCTGGACACATCTGGCGACGGCAGACCAGTGTGAGCCTCCCACTCTTCGACCAGGCATCGCGTCGCCTCACCGACACGAGCAGCGGCGGAGCCGTAGATACTTGCGATCGTGTCAGCGGAGGCCACTTGTGAAGCGATGTGGGCAGGAAGGGCCACGTCAGTCACCATCCTCACACCAAGTCCGCCGAGATTGACGGGCAGCTTCGCCTGCCGCCATGAGTCGCCTCGCAGTCGGACGTTCGTGATTGCCTCCATGCCGCAGCGAACGGTTTCGTCGATCTTGACGAGCAGGGCAGGGTGGCGATAGGCCGGGGAGCTTCGTAAGAGGTACAGAACGCGAGGAAGGCTGACGTAGCTCTTCAGCAAGAAGAATGCCTGGTGTGCCTCCTCCAGGGCCTGCAGCCGTCTGATGAGCTTTTCCATCATAAGCTGACCTTGTAGAAGCTTACGTCGCACCTGGTCGTCGTGCACAGGCGCGCCAAGCAGCTCCAACTCGCTCATGGCCACTTCTCGGATGTCTGGCAGGACGCTGTGGAGGTGGCGTAGAGCGATGGACTTGGATTCTTCGCTGGATCCTTCCAGGAGAATGGCTTCACATTTCGTCGGATTTATGGTGAGGCCCACCTTGCTCAGCTCTGCCTTCACTCGTTGGATGCTGGAGACAACATCAGGCACTGATCCCGCCAGCGTGCCGTCATCGAGGTACCAGATGTTGATATCTGTGTCTGCAGACCTGGCGGCGGCATCCACCGTCAGGGAAAACAGCAGAGAACTCAGTGGGTCACCTTGCTGAATTCATGT